GATAGCTGAAGGGAGAAAGATGAGATTCAGAAAAATAGGAGATGAATGGAATTATTTAAAAAACAATTGAAATTGAAAGAATCAAATGAAGGATTAGAAATACAAAATCCATACATAGGAGCCAAATAATGACTAATAGGTTAAGACAATGGAGTGAAGAAGGAAAGGAAGGCAGCACTGATAATAATTTAGTAGTAATTAGAGGGCAGTAAAGCAACACAGGGTTTTTGAGAAGTAACCTAAAATGATAGCTAATAAAAGTGATGAAAAGGGAAAATATATCTAATGTGAGAGGGTAGCCTCCTAACCATGAAGTCAGCAACATTTCCTGAAAAGGAAGTAGTGGCTACTTTTTTCTTCAGGGTATTTGGTTGGTTGGTTGGTTAGTTGGTTTAAGTTTGTTGATTTATTTCATGAGAGAGAGAGAAAGAGAGACAAGGTCTTAACATGCTACAGTCCTTCCACCAGACTTCCAGCCAACCAGGACCACTGGGATGCCCAGTGTATTCAGGTCAACAGTATTTGAACCTGGCCCCTCCCATATGGCTCCAGTATTACAAAGTGGCACTGTACCACCTGTGCTACCATACCACCTGTGCCACCACAGCTGGACCTCATGTTTCCTGTTTTTAAATAGAATAGAGAGAGCACTTGAGAGTCATCTCGGTTGATGACATTATTTATATAAACAAGAATGAGCATGCGTATGTGTGTGTATGTGTGCATACATGTGTGTATTTTCCCAAGTGCCCCACCTAGTACTAATACATTATTGCTTTTACAATCTAAGCCTGTAGTATGAAGTGAAAAGTATACTTTAAACTAGCTTCACAAGCTAATCTTATCTAGTAAATATACAACCGATGTGATTGGTTGTATATTCACTAAAAATGAAAATTTTTAATGCTTAATTTAAATAGACCTGAAAAACATAAATGTGTTATGATCTAGCAAGTTCACTAGCCACCACCAGAGCAGATAAGCAGACATCAAGAGCAAATGGTAACTAGCGCCCAGATGGCTACCTAAGGTTTTCGCACTCCTCGGAAAAACTCTACCTAGAAAAGATCTGCTCTGTTATCTACAACTACAGATTTGCCCAAATTTGCTAGATAGGTCTACTCTGTATTATATCATGAGTTAACATGATCAAGGACACGATTTCATGGTATATATCATAATAGAGTTGAGCCTTGAATAACACGTGTTTGAGCTGAGTGGGTCTGCTTATACATGGATTTTTTTCAATAAAGATTTTGGAAAATATGGTTTAGTACTGTAAATATATTTCTTAACATTTTCCTTTCTGTAGCTTACATATTGCTATAGTATATACATATAACAACTAAATTATGTGTTAGTTGACTATTCACGTTTATTAGTAAGGCTTTGAGTCAACAGTAAACTGTTAGAAGTTAAGTTTTTTGAGAGTCAAAACTTGTATGTGCAGATTTTCAACTGTGCAGGGAGTTGATGCCCAAACCCAAATGCTGTTTAAAAGGCAACTTTTAAAGTTAAAAGAGATTACTTTCTGGATTCCACTGACTACGTGGTTTGAGCTCTAGAACCTAGGCTTGAAGCCTGGCACATATGTCTGTTTACCCAGAATTCCAAGAGGAGTGCAAGAAGAAACATTGTAGCCATTCCCCTGGGAGGTGATTTCTTACTTTTCCACTCTCTGTCTCTCTCTTTTCTCTGGCAAGATCATGTACTCTATGGCATAAAGAACTGAATGTATATGTTAAAAGCTAACTATATGACAAGTTCATTGCACTTCTTAATATAAACAATATGCCATAAAATTATAAGTAAACAATTTAAATCTAAATTTCTTAAAGCTATGAATTTGACATATAGTAAGCTCTTAATAAGTTGCATTAATAATAATAAAAGTAGTTTGGCTGGCAAGTGGTGTGGTGGTTAGAGCACTGGATCCCCACATGGCCAGCCACAATTCGGGTCCCAGACCTAGTGGCTTGTTTTCTCACTCTTCCTCTCTCTCTGTCTAAATTGAAGAAGAAGAAGAATAAATAAAATTAAATAAATAATTATTTTTAAAAATAGTAGAAATAGTAAGAGCAGTAGTAGCTGCTGTATATCTTCTAAAAAATATCAGGTAAGAATGAAAACAAAGTACCATAGAAACTTCTTCTGAACCATGAGTCACAGAGGGGTCCATTTGATTTCACTTCGTCATCTCAGATAAAAAGCTAAAAATTTAAATAATAATGTTACTTATTTGTAGCTAACCGTTTAGCCATTAAAATTTAAATATGACTTAATATTATTGTTTCTAATAAAAGTTTATTTTTACTTTTGGGATTAATAATGCTTAAAGAACATCAGTGTTTTCTTATCATTGAACATCATGAAAAGTTTGCACGCTAGCTAGATTTTACATACTAGGTCTGTGGAACGGAAATCTAAAGACCAAATGGTATGGTCTTAAGTTTATGAAGCTTCCTCAAACTGTGTGTGAGTTTATGTACTTGTGTAAGATATTGAAAGATAAAGTTTTCAGAGAATGATGAATAGATCAAAGTTGATAATAATTTTCAAAATATTTTATTAACCTCATATTTCTGTTTTAAAAGTTTTTCATTTTAGTGATTGTAAAAGAAGTACTAACATGTTGGAAAATTAAGAAAATATAGAGAAGTAGAGAATAAAATAAAACTTACATTCTAGAGATAATTTAGTATTAATATATCACTGCCTTTTAACTAATTTTTCTATGTACAAAAGGACTTCAATATGTTCATGGAAAAATGGAATTAAAGAACTAGTTTATTTGGTGCAAAAATATTTTGAAATCTATGCATAAGTTTCAGTTAATACACATTTTCTATGAGTTGTTTAATTTTTTACTTATAATTTTATGGCATATTAGGTATACCATAAGAAATTATTTTTAATAGCCTCTAGTATATCTTATATATCTGAATGAACTTTAATACACTTTAACCATTTCCATTTGGTTGGTTATACAGTACTGGGTATTTTTGTATATAAATCTTTATCCATCTATCTCATGGTTTTCTTAGAAGAGATATTATAGCAATTAAATTTCTGGATCAAATGACTAGTTTTTTTTATGTTTACTGATGATCTTGCCAAAATAATTCCTAAAAATCTTGAACCAGTTTAGGGTTGTATGAACAATGTATGAGAGTATAAACTCCAATCTACATTGAATATTATCATTTTTATTGTCATTATGGGCAAAAATAAGGTAGCAGCTATATAAATGTTAGTATTTATTAAGCAACTATGTTTCATAAATTACTGACACTTGATTCTATCAGCAATCTTAAGTATTCTTTTTTTTTTTTTGGAGAGGTTTTTGCTATAGGCACATGTGCTCGCCAGAAAGACAGAGAGAGACAGGGAGACAGAAAGCGAGAAATCACCCCCCAGAGAGGATGGCCACACCACAATTCCTTCTCTTCCTTTCTCCTCTTGGAGTCTTGAGCATGCATGCACACGCACCCAGCATGAGTTTAAGCCACCGGGTCCAGGACTCGAACCGCGGTTGATTACATGGGAATCCAGCAACATAGCCACTACGCTAACTGCTGGTCCCAGTATTCTTAAGACTCTTAAGAAACTATTATTATTATCATTTTATACATGAAAAAGCTATTGAGTTTTAACATTCCTTTCCAAGTTACATTTAGCCAGTGACTGATACTGTAGTTTTGCTATACAATAACTGATGATATTGAACATTGTTATATATTTACTGATAACTTGTATTTCTTTGAAATTTTACTCATGTCTTTGTCATTTTTC